CCACCCCACTGACAACTCTTTCCTTCAGCCACCAAAACAACAGGCTACAAGAATGACATTCCTTTCCCTTTTAGGCAAGCTGAAGGGCCCCTACAAAGGCAGGTGTCTTCATTTCAACCCTACCCCAGAATTGTGCAGAATTCTGAAAGACTGGGCAGGACACTGGGAGAAAAGAGAGGAGGGATACTTACAGCTCGTGGTTTTTTGTTCAACTTGAGATCAATCCTGCAATGGAAGGAAGGAAGAATCGAGTGTTGGCCTATGGAAGCTAGAAAGGCGGTCCCCTTGGGAACATGCCTGCCACTAACAGGCCAATATAGCCTTTCCCACCCACATCCCAATGGCATCAAAATGCAGATTCCATCCACACAATCAGGAGAAACACATTAGAAAGTTAGCCAGCATCCAAAGACCATGGGAACACGTCATCTGCTGGGTTAGCATGTTAAAAATACAACTCGGAGGAAGAGGAGGAGGAGGAGGAGGAGGAGGAAGAGGCAGTAGCCAGAGGATTTAGTGGCACTAGTAAGAATCAAATTGTATTTTTTTGCATTTAGGAAGCTGCCTTATCTGCAGTCTTAGAAAGCAAAGCAATGAAACTCAGTTTTCAAAATTCAGTAGAAGTTTATCTGCTTTTCAAAATGACATAAAGAAGCAAAGAGGGCAGCTGAATGAATTTGTTTGCCAAGATTATTAAGTAAAAAGTTACCTCCATTGTGCTTTTGTCTGTATTTTTAAAAACTTGCCAGCCTAACCTAATATACATACCTACAATTAAACAGATAAACTATGGATTAGAATAGTTCTGAAAATGCACGTGGGGAAGTTGAAGGAGGGCGGCGAAGGGGAGGAGAAAGGCTACACACTGACATCACAGCACAAAAACTAAGTCAAATCAAGTCAAACTTACTCAAAGTCATAATCAAACATGCCAGACGGGCTGAGGGGCAGCATTCAAAAAGAAGAAAGCAATAGAAATTAATACACTAAGGAATTAAATCAATTAGTTGATTAGCCACCCTAGCGAAATTCAAAAATGAAAAAGAGCAGGTGACACATAATTATAATCTTGAAATATAAAACCTCCCAAAACCCCCACTCCCCGAGAAGTCCCCTACCCCCAAGTAATCCTATGATGCTCTAGGGGCACATATCAACATCCTTGGAAAGGAAAAAGGGTGGGAACCTCCCACCATGCTTGAACGTTCCAGATTGGTGGAAAATTGGCAAAATGTGTGTGCCAGCCTCCCCACAGGGTTCTGGCTGTACTGGCAAGGAAACAGAAATGGAAAACCGACCCCGCCCCTGCCACCGACACTGGGCCTGCCGGGCCCAGTCCCTGGCCTTGAGAAGGCAGAGCATCAGCCTGGATTTGGGAAAACGCTGGACCGGGGGAAGAGCCGAGAGAGGGCTCGCTTAGGTGTCGCTCCGATTGCCTGCAAGACTCCGTTCCTCCAGTACCGCCTGACCTACGTTTCCGCAGCTTCCTCCCGGCTTCCTGCCACTGTGAACGTGAAGATCTTTCAGGACAGAAATCTCCGGACTTGGACTTTTTGTCCATTGGTCCTTCCTGACCTGAGGAAGGCCATAGCCAGTTATTTGAAGATTTCCAATTCTCAATAGGGAAAGACTCACTACATAGAAAGAGTTATCAACAGACACTTTCAACTTAAACAAAATACACAGAACTACAACAATCCCATTTCTCCCCGTGGTACCTTCACTTTCATTCCCGTCTACCGACATGACTGCTGAGGCACAGCCACGTCCCCACGTTACTCGTGGAAGGGAGTACGGAGCACGGAGACGGCGCTCCACTGAAGCAGCAAAGTGTCATTTCCAGATCATGTTTAACCTGCCCAGTCAATGGCTTCGCTTGGCCTTTGAGAGCAGAGCGGAGGTTTCTGTTCGGGACGGGCCCCTGGAAAAGTG